CGCTCTTTCCCTCTTGCCCTCCCCTTCTCCCTCCCTCTCTCCCTCTCTTTCCCTCCCTCTCTCCCTCCCTCTCGCTCCTTCCCCCTTCTCCCTCCCTCTCTCCCTCCCTCTCCTTCTCCCTTTTCTCTCTCTCCCCTCCCTCCCTCTTGCCCTTCCCCCTCTTCTTCTCCCTCTCTCTCTTCCTCCTTCTCCTTCTCCCTTTTCTCTTTCTCCCCTCCCTCCCTCTCTTTCCCTCCCTCTCTCTCCCCTCCCTCCCTCTCTCCCTCCCTCTCCTTCTCCCTTTTCTCTCTCTCCCCTCCCTCCCTCTTGCCCTTCCCCCTCTTCTTCTCCCTCCCTCTCTCCCTCCCTCTCCTCCCTTTTCTCTTTCTCCCCTCCCTCCCTCTCTTTCCCTCTTGCCCTTCCCCCTCTCTTCCTCTCCCTCTCTTCTTCTCCCTCTCTTCCCTTGCCTCTCTCTCCCTCCCTCCCTCCCTTTCCCTCTTGCCCTTCCCTCTCTTCTTCTCCCTCCTCTCTTCCCCTCCCTCCTTCTCTCTTTTCTCTCTCCCCTCCCTCCCTTTTGTTCCCTCTTTCCCTTCCCCTCTCTTCCTCCCTCCCTCTCTTCTTCTCCCTCCCTCCCTCTCTTTCCTTCGCCCTTTCCTCTCAGCTCTCTCCCTTGCCCTCCCTCTCCCTCTCTCCCTCCTTCTCTCCCTCTTTCCTTCTTTTCCTCTCTCTCTCCCTCTCTCCCCCTCCTTCTCTCTCTCTCTCTCTCTCTTGATTCCTCTCCCTCTCCCCCTCTCTTTTGCCTTTTTTTCCTTCTCTCTGTTTCCTCCCCCTTCTGTCTCTCCCCTGTTCTCTCTCTCACACTGTCTCTCTGTCTCTCTTTCGGTGCCTCGGTTTCCCCACATTCAAGGCTGTGAACACCCCAGCATTCCAACTGTGCCTTTTCCATCCTCACCAAAGGGACAAAGGTTTCCCCTGCACCCCAGCAGCCGTTCTTCCAAAGCTCGAGCACAAGACCCTCATATTGACGTGATCCACATCTGACCCCTCACAAGACCCTCACCTGACGTGACCGACACCTGACCCATCCAAGACCCCCATCTGATGTGACCCACACTTGATCCATCACCAGACCCATCACAAAACTCTTATCTGAAGTGACCTACATCTGACCCCTTACAGGACCCTCACCCAATGTGGCCCATCACAAGACCCATCCAAGACCCCTCACAAGACCCATATCTGACATGACCCACACCTGACCCCTCACAGGACCCTCACCCAATGTGGCCCATCACAAGACCCATCCAGGACCCCTCACCAGACCCATCTCTGACATGACCCACACCTGATCCATCACAAGAACCTCATCCGATGTGGCCCATCAGAAGACCCATCCAAGACCTCCATCTGATGTGAACCACGCTTGATCTATCACCAGACCCATCAAAAAATTCTTACCTGTTGTGACCTACATCTGCCCCTCACAAGCACCTCACCTGACCCATCCCAAGACCCATCACCAGATCCTCATCTCACTTGACCTACATCTGACCCCTCGCAGGACCCTCACCTGATGTGGCCCATCACAAGACCCATCCAACACCCCTCACAAGACCCATATCTGACATGACCCACACCTGATCCATCACAAGAACCTCATATGACCCATCACAAGAACCTCACCTGATGTGGCCCATCACAAGACCCATCCAACACCCCTCACAAGACCCATATCTGACATGACCCACACCTGATCCATCACAAGAACCTCATCTGATGTGGCCCATCAGAAGACCCATCCAAGACCTCCATCTGATGTGAACCACGCTTGATCCATCACCAGACCCATCAAAAAACTCTTACCTGTTGTGACCTACATCTGGCCCCTCACAAGCACCTCACCTGACCCATCCCAAGACCCATCACCAGATCCTCATCTCACTTGACCTACATCTGACCCCTCGCAGGACCCTCACCTGATGTGGCCCATCACAAGACCCATCCAACACCCCTCACAAGACCCATATCTGACATGACCCACACCTGACCCTTCACAAGACCCATCACAAGAACGTCCCCTGACATGACCCTCCCTTGAGGTGGCCCTCAACTGAAGTGCCCTCCCCATCACCAGATCCACGGAAGCCCTTAGAAACAGAAACTAGCCTGGGAACAAAAATGTTCAGAAACGAAGCCACAACCTGCAGATATTCACTCTTCTCCATCACTGCCCCAACTGCCTGCCTCCCGCCCGTCCTCGGCTTCAGAGGAGAAGCTGGCCCAGACTCTGACAAGCAGAGACCTTTTCACAAAGCCTCTGGATCAGATGTGGAATCACAGCAGAGGTGAGAGCTGACAGCGGAGGATTCATTCTGGCCAAATGTCATGTTTTGAAGGTCAGGGCCTCCCACCCGTGAGCTCAGCCGCAGGAAGGGAGGAAGAAGAAAGGGAAAGAAAAAATATCGCCAGGCGGTTCATATTGGTCCAAGAATAGTCTCTCTCTCTCTGTCTCTCTCTTCCTCTCTCTCTCTTTCTTCCTCTCTTCTTTCTCTTCTTTTTTCTTTCTCTTTCTCTCTCTTTTTCTCTCTCCCTCCTCTCTGTTCTTTTTCTTCTCTCTCTCTCTCTCTCTCTTTCTTTCTCTCTTTCTTCCTCTTCTTTCTTCTCTCTCTCTCTTCTCTCTGTTCTTTTTCTTTCTCTTCTCTCTCTTTCTTCCTCTCTTCTTTCTCTTCTTCTCTCTCTCTCTTCTCTCTGTTCTTTTTCTTTCTCTTTCTCTTTTTTCTCTCTCTCTGTTCTTTCTCTTCTCTCTCTGCTCTCTCTCTCTCTTTCTTTTCTCTTTCTTCCTCTTCTTTCTCTTCTTTCTTCTCTCTTCTCTCTCTCTTTCTTTCTCTTCTCTTTCTTCCTCTTCTTTCTCTTCTTTCTTTTCTCTTTCTTCCTCTTCCTTCTCTTCTTTCTTCTCTCTTCTCTCTCTCTTTCTTTCTTTTCTCTTTCTTCCTCTTCTTTCTCTTCTTTCTTTTCTCTTTCTTCCTCTTCTTTCTCTTCTTTCTTCTCTCTTCTCTCTCTCTTTCTTTCTCTCTTTCTCTTTTTTCTCTCTCTCCTCTGTTCTTTCTCTTCTTTCTCCTCTCTCTTTCTTTCTCTCTTTCTTCCTCTCTTCTTTCTCTTCTTCTCTCTTTCTTTCTCTCCCTTTCTCTCTCTCCTCTCTCTTCTTTCTCTTCTTTCTCTTCTCTCTCTCTGCTCTTTCTCTCTTTCTTCCCCTCTTCTTTCTCTTCTCTCTCTCTCTTCTCTCTCTCTATCTTCTCTCTTTCTTCCTCTCTTCTTTCTCTTCTTTCTTCTCTCTCTCTTTCTTTCTCTCTCTCTCTCCCTCTCTCCCTCTCCCTGTGATCCATGAGCCAATTTTACAAAGAAGGTAAATAAAGCTTCTGAAATCAGCACTGATTTAGACACAGGCATAGAATCGAACACCTCAAAAACCAAGATCCTGGTCGTCAGCGAACATCCCGTTAATTTACCACTAAAAAATTCAGAAGGAGTACCACCAGAAAAAGTTGAAAGGATCACACACCTCGGTTCTAATCTACACGAAAGCTGGGACATGACCGCTGAAGTAAAGACAAGGGTAGAGAAAGCTCAAACAGCATTCTTCAAAATGAAAAAAGGTCTTCTGCAGTCACGACATCAGCCTAAGACTGGGGCTTGTGAGATGCTATATTTTTTCTATCCTGCTCTATGGAGTAGAGCAGTGTTTCTCAACCTTGACCATTTTAAGGCATGTGGACTTCAACTCCCAGAATTCCACAGCCAGCATTGCTGGCTGTGGAATTCTGGGAGTTGAAGTCCACATGCCTTAAAATGGTCAAGGTTGAGAAACACTGGAGCAGAGAGCTGGTCTCTGACAGAAGGCCACCTGAAGAGACTGGAAGCCTTTGAAATGTAGATTGACAGGCGGCTGTTACGTAGAAGCTGGGTTGACAAGATCAGAAATGAGGAGGGGATCAGCCGCCTGGGAAAGCCCAGGGAAATCATCAAAACAATTAAAAAACGAAAATTAGAATATTTTGGACACATGATGCGACACCCAGAAAAATACAGCATGCTCCATTTAATCCTCCAGGGAAAGACGGAAGGCCAACGAGGTCCAGGCAGAAGAGGAACATCCTGGCTTCAAAATCTAAGGGACCGGTTTGGACAAAACTCAGCAGCACTTTTTTGTGCGGCTGCTGATAAAAACAGGATCGCCAACGTCCAATAACGGATAGGGCACAAGAAGTAGAAGAAGATAGAATCAAAGGCATCACTTGTCTGAGACAGTACTATAGGTTCTCCTGCTTGAGCAGGGGGCTGGACTAGAAGACCTCCAAGGTCCCTTCCAGCTCTATTCCGTTCTAAAATCAGGTGAAGTGTTAGTAGCACTTTGTAAAGCTTTAGTAAGGCCACACCTGGAATACCTGCACCCGGTTTTGCTCACTACGTTACAAAAAAAAAAAAAAAAAGGAATTGAGACTTTGGAAAAAGTGCCGAAAAGAGCAACTAAAATGGTGAAAGGGCTGGAGACTAAAATATAGGAAGAACAGTTGCAGAATTTGGGTTTGGCGAAAAGAAGGATGAGGGGTGACATGACAGCAGCATTCCAGTATCTCAGGGGCTGCCCCAAAGAAGAGGGAGTCAAGCTATTTTCCAAAGCGCCTGAAGGCAGGACAAGAAGCAACGGATGGAAACTAAGCAAGGAGAGAAGCAACCTGGAACTAAGGAGAAACTCCCTAACAGTGAGGACAATTAACCAGTGGAACAGCTTGCCACCAGAAATCGTGGGCGCTCCATCATTGGAGATTGTTAAGAAGAGACTAGACAGTCACTTGTCTGAGATGGTATAGGGTCTCCTGCTTGAGCAGGGGGCTGGACTAGAAGACCTCCAAGGGCCCTCCAGCTCTGTTCTATTCTAAAATGGATCAAGGCAGGAAGCATGCAAAATAAAACAAGGGCAGTTTAGATTGCATCCACTGTGAATCCTCTTGACTTTTTCGACCATGTCCTGGGGACCCTTCGGAAAACCAAGATTTGACGTCTGCCAGAACTGCCTAAGAATTGGTTGTATCTGTCAAGGAGACCCAGAGGCCTGTGAGGACCTGCTGAAGACTAAAGACGTGGTCCCCAGCACCGTGTGCCTTTGCCGGGAAAGCGGAATTTAATTCACCAACAACAAAACGATAAGGAGTTTATTAGCAGCTTATCTTTTAAGCAGCAGCTCACTCACAGCTGCCAAACTGCAGATGCCAAAAAACAACCCAACTCCAAGAAACTCTACCTTAATGAATTCATTAATAACGTAGGTCTATCGCCGTTTCCAGGATTCTGTCATTTCCCCCTTAATCCTTGGCCTGAAAAAACAGCTTATTAAAAGTCTTTGTAATTCTGCTTTTCTTTGGGGGGGGGGCTGCCGAGCGCTCGATAGCTTCCCAAAATAACAATCTCCACCCCAGCGTTTCCACCAGGAAGTTTTTTTTTCCTCTGACTTCCACCATCATCATCGTCATGGAAACCACGCCGAAGAAAACTTTGATAAGGCTGAAATGTTCCGGAACAAAGTGCTTTTTTTGGGGGGGGGGGACAGGTGAAAAGCAAAAACGGAACCGTCCGGCTACGATTTTGCGCAGGTAGATAAGCAGCCGGAAGAGTGAAGTATTTGAAGAGCAATCGTTTTGCTAACAATTTAGTGTGGCTCCGTTAAGCTTTGGGCCTATGTGTGGTAAACCAATGGCCCAGAAAATATGATGTGGATGGCAGGAAGAATAGAATTCAACTAAATATTGCTATATCCGAGCAGATAATGTCCCACAATCAGTGATGAAATAGAAGTGGAAAGCGGTAGCGAACTGCAACATGGCCAATCTTCAAATCAGCTAGAACAGTGTTTCTCAACAGAATGGAGTGGAATAGAATAGAATAGAATAGAATAGAATAGAATAGAATAGAATAGAATAGAATAGAATAGAATAGAATAGAATAGAATTACAGGATAGAATAGAACAGAACAGAACAGAACAGAATAGAATAGAATAGAACAGAACTGGAAGGGACCTTGGAGGTCTTCTAGTCCAGCCCCCCGCTCAAGCAGAAGAACCTATACCATCTCTAAGTGACCGTCTAGCCCAGGGGTAGGCAATCTTGGCTCTTTTATGACTCGTGGACTTCAACTCCCAGAATTCCTGAGCCAGCATGGGGAAACTATGGTCCCTTCATGACTTGTGGACTTCAACTCCCAGAATTCCTGAGCCAGCGTGGGAGAACTATGGCCCCTTCATGACTCGCGGACTTCAACTCCCAGAAGTCCTCAGCCAGCATGGGGGAGCTAGGGCCCCTTCATGACTCGTGGACTTCAACTCCCAGAATTCCTCAGCCAGCATGGGGAAAACTTTGGCTCCTTCATGACTGGTGGACTTCAACTCCCAGAATTCCTCAGCCAGCATGGGGAACTATGACCCCTTCATGACTCATGGACTTCAACTCCCAGAATTCCTCAGCCAGCCTGGCTCAGCTTGGAAACCTCTCCCTTTCCCCTCAGCATGGCTGGCTCAGGAATTCTGGGAGTTGAAGTCCACGAGTCATAAAAGAGCCCAGGTTTCCTACCCCTGGTCTAGCCTCTTGTTAAAAATCTCCAGTGATGGAGCGCCCATGATTTCTGGTGGCAAGCTGTTCCACTGGTTAATTGTTCTCACTGTTAGGAAGTTTCTCCTTAATTCCAGGTTGCTTCTCTCCTTGATTGGTTTCCAATCAATGTTTCTCATCCTTCCTTCTGGTGCTTTGGAGAATAATTTGACCCCCTCTTCTTTGTGGCAGCCCCTCAAATACTGGAACACTGCTATCGTGTCTCCCCTATTTCTTCTTTTCTTTAGACTAGCCAAACCCAAGTCCCGCAGCCGTTCTTCGTATGTTTTGGTCTCCAGGCCTTGGATCATCTTAGTTGCTCTTCTCTGAATTTTTTCCAAACTCTCAACATCTTTTTTGTGATATGGTGACCAAAACTGGCTGTAGTATTCCAGATATGGCCTCACTAGGGTTTTATAAAGCGGTAGTAATACTTTGCATGATCTTGATTCTATGCCTCTGTTTATTGGACACTAATACTTCTTGGTCTAAGCCAATTTGTCCAGGACCAATCTTGTTTCATTTTTGTCCTCATGCTAAAACAGGCTTAATTTAATCGCGACAACTGCAGCTTCGAAGGAAAGAAGCTATGATCAACAATCGTGTTTCAATGGATTATTCACAGCTTGATGAGGAGGTACTTGGGGCTGATTGTAGGGTGCACCGTTTCGGTAGAACAAGGGGGAAAAAAAAACCCCAAAATAATAAACTTCCAAGATCAACCCGTGCAGAGACGGGTGGAAGGCAAGCAAAGGGAGGGGAAAAAAAAAAAAAAACTTCAGGTGCTGCCTGGAGTGATAGAAATGAGGGATGCAAATTTTTAAATTAGATTAACTAACTCAATTATGTTCAATTAACTCATTGAATTTGTGCATTGAGCTGCACAAGAGCTGGGCAGTGGGATCAGGCAGAAACCGCTGAAGACAACCACAATTGCCTGAGAATGATACACGCACATCCAGGTTTGACTTATGGTTCACACACACACACACACACACACACACACACACACACACCCCTGCAACACCGACAGTTTAGAATTAGGGTTACAATGGCCATTGCAAGCCACTAAATCAGTGTTTCTCAACCTTGACAATTTTAAGGCATGTGGACTTCAACTCCCAGAATTCCACAGCCAGCAATGCTGGCTGTGGAATTCTGGGAGTTGAAGTCCACATGCCTTAAAATTGTCAAGGTTGAGAAACATTGCACTAAATAGACTCTCCAGTCCCTGTTATCTTTCTTGGAGTACAGACTACCAGAGTTGAAAGGGACCTTGGAGGTCATATAGTCCAGCCCCCTGCTCAAGCAGGAGGCCTGCTGCCATTTCAGACAAATGGCTGTCCAATCTCTTCTTAAAAGCCTCCAGTGATGGAGCACCTACAACATCTGGTGGCAAGCTGTTCCACTGGTTAATTGTCCTCACCGTTAGGAAGTTTCTCCTTAATTCCAGCTTGCTTCTCTCCTTGGTCGGTTTCCATCCATTGCTTCTTGTCTTTCCTTCTGGTGCTTTGGAGAATAGCTTGACTCCCTCTTCTTTGGGGCAGCCCCTGAGATACTGGAATTTGCTATTATGTCCCCCCTCGTCCTTCTCTTCATTAAACTAGACATCCCCAATTCTTGCAACCGTCCTTTGTATATTTTAGCCTCCATTTTCCTAATCGTCTTTGTTGCTCTTCTCTGCCCTCTTTCCAGAGTCTCAGCATCTTGAGACTGATTGATTGCTGGGTCTTCTATCCACCGCAAAGCCACAAAGTGCTTCCTCTCAGCTCTTATCACAGAAAGGGGACATCTAAAGTGGGACGGGGACCTTAGAGAGCTTGTAGACGAACCTTAAATCATCCTAGGCAAAGGATCGTCCGATTTTGCTTCTTTGGAAGTCTCTGGTGAGGATGAAAGCAGGCCAAAATTCAGCCCTTAAGCCTCACCTGCTGGCTGCAGTTGGAATCATCCTTGCTTCAAGTTCAATTCTTCCCACACGAAAGATGCTTTTTTGAAAGGAAGGAAGGGAGGGAGGGAGGGAGGGAGGGAGGGAGGGAGGGAGGGAGGGAGGGAGGGAGGGAAAGACAGACAGAAAGAGAAAGAAAGAAAGAAAAAGAAAGACAGAAAAAAGAAAGAAAAAGAGACAGACAGAAAGAGAAAGAAAAAGAAAGGAAGAAAAGAAAGAAAGAAAAAAAGACAGACAGATAGAAAGAGAAAGAAAAAGACAGACAGAAAGAGAAAGAAAAAGAAAGAAAGAAAAAGACAGACAGAAAAAGAAAGAACGAACGAACAAACAAACAAATGAACGAAAGAAAGAGAGAGAGAGAGAGGTTCATGTCCCAAAAGCAGCGGTCTTAATCTCTGCCATTTTTTCTGTGCAAGATGCAGAACTGGTTTTCCCGCAGAGGAGTTTCCAGTGCGGATTTTACTAACTGTGTTAGGTTTAAGCCAGGGGACGTAGAAGTGGGTGAGAAGCAGGGGGGAATGGTTAAATTAAAGAGGAAAGCGGGCAGATGTCCTCTCGTATCCGTCCTTTTTATCGGTTTATTGTTCGTTTTAATATTTTAACTTATTTTTTTAAAAAAAAATTAAAGAGGAAAGATTTTTGACGGACTCTTCTTGTAGTTTTCCACCCATTTTGTTAAAGGCATCACTTTGGCTTATAACGTGAGTGTGTTTCTATCACATAAAGAAATAAATAAATGTGTGACCTTCCCCCCCCCTCCCGCCTCTTGGGGTAACCTCAATAAGAGAGAGAGAGAGAGATGATATAGATAGATAGATAGATAGATAGATAGATAGATAGATAGATAGATAGATAGAGATGGATGGGTGGATGGATGGAGAAATAGATAGATAGATAGATAGGATAGATGGAGAAATAGATAGATAGATAGATAGATAGATAGATAGATAGATAGAGATAGATAGATAGATAGAGAAATAGATAGATAGATAGATAGATAAAATCTAGAGATAGATAGATAGATAGATAGATAGATAGATAGATAGAGATGGATGAATGGAGAAATAGATAAATAGATGATAGAGATAGATAGATAGATAGATAGATAGATAGATAGATAGATAGATAGATAGATAGAGATGGATGGGTGGATGGATGGAGAAATAGATAGATAGATAGGATAGATGGAGAAATAGATAGATAGATAGATAGATAGATAGATAGATAGATAAATAGAGATAGATAGATAGATAGAGAAATAGATAGATAGATAGATAAAATCTAGAGATAGATAGATAGATAGATAGATAGATAGATAGAGATGGATGGATGGATGGAGAAATAGATAAATAGATGATAGAGATAGATAGATAGATAGATAGATAGATAGATAGATAGATAGATAGATAGATAGAAAGATAGATGATAGATAGATAGATAGATGATAGATAGAGAAATAGAGATAGATAGATAGATAGATAGATAGATAGATAGATAGATAGATAGATAGATAGATAGATAGATAGATAGATAGATAGATAGATGATGGATGGATAGAGATAGATA